TGAAAATTTTCTATAGAGTAATAATTTGTATGTAAAAGCAATAAATTACAGTCAAAATTTAGTAAAATCAAAGCTATTTTGTGCTGTTGTACTATGATGAAAACGTACTGTACTTTCAAATTGGAAATCCAACTGAAATGAAATTATGCAAAAATTAGTGATGTTTTTTATTTAAAATCAAATTACTAATATCTTTTATTGATCTTTCAATTCAACATTTGTGCTTTCAATTTAATATGCGTAAAATTTTGGTTTCCTTAAAAAGGATTTAGACAGTGATTGCTAATTTCTGTGCAAAAACAATTAAAATTGTGTATGATAATTAAATAGATATTAAATTGAATACAATACAAAACAAAGAAAAAAAAGATAAAAATATAATTGGAAATGCGATTGTAATGACTAATGATAATAATGATGTTAAAATTTATTATTAGCATTTTTTTTCTTGATAATATTTTTTCGTGTCACAACTAACTATGATGATAAAGAAAAAATATTTTTAGTGAAATTTATTAAAATTGTTGAAATTTTCATGCAGTAAATTTCTGATCCAAAATACTAAACGCAAAAATTTATGTTCAGTTTATTATAAATTTACAGTGTCACTTCAGTGTACTCAATTATTTTCAAATAAATTATAAACGGATATATAAACTGCACAAATACTAAAAACTTGAAACAGTCTGCGTGAATGACGTCAATTCAATTGTCATTGCAAAATAATTTAATTCAAAAATTGTAACAGAAATTTTTAATTTCAAAAAATCACAAAAGTTTTGATTTGAATGAAAGCTGTAATTATATATTTCATATAATGCTTTAATACATTTTTTAAAAGTATCAAACTTTCATTACACAATTACTGATGAATTTTTAAAAGACAAAGAATAAAATAGAAAATTGTACCAAAATACTCAAATGCAAAACTTATAAGTCGTCAGTAACCTTGCATTTATTTCATTTAACGCTTATAGTTTTATGCATATTTTTATATGCATTAAATGTTGTAAGTAAAAAAATTATTGTTGTACACATACAAATATATGCTTAATAATAAGGAGAAAATTTTTGATATCAAAGCGTAAGAATGATTGGCTCTACTGACCCCTATTTTAAATTAGACTATTACATTACTGATATCAATTTGAGCTCATTTTACGATAATTATCAAAACTGCAATCATCTCATGTCATTTCTAATTTGCGCAGCAATGGATTTGGAAGAATTCAATATGCCAAATTCTTTGGATAATTTAAATTTGGTGCTGAATTAATTGCAATTACATTGATTTTCCGCTGTTTCTTAGGTGATAGTGATTATGATTTGATACCACTATCATACACCAGGCATAATTAGTCTCTTTCATATTGCTAATTTTCAATTATTTTCCATACCTTTTTCCTCTTTAATCTCATCTTCTTATAAGTAATTTGAACTAATTAGTAATTATTAAGCGCATTTAAAATATGCTAAATCATTTCAAACAAAAATGCAAGCAAGATTATCTTTTTAAAACTGTATTTTATTTTAGAAATAAATTGTTTCTTATTCGTTCATCATATTTTTCTAACCAAATTTATCTACTTAAGCAGTGAATGTTAGCTTTGAAGATTCAATCACAAGACTGTAATCACTTCATTTTTGTGTTATCAGTAACCTAATGAATGTATCATTTGTGCACTTTAGTTACACTATTAATCATTTCAGAGTATTGAAATTTTTTAAAAGCTATTTTTAGTTTTTTGAAAAAGTGTTTAAATGGATTTATCAAACATTAATTTATTTATTTTTGAGATTTATGGTTTGTTGTTTAATTTTTAATATTTTTTACCAATATGTTAAGTGTTCTCAATGCTTACTTCATTTTCGTCCTTTTTATCATTCAAAGCAAAGAACACTTTTTTAAAATATAACCTCCGATTATTATCTCACAATTTATGTACGATTCCATTTAGCAGCATTTGTGCTACTCACTTCTTCAAACTGTTCAAAACTATCAAGAACTTAATAATATTTATTTTCCCTTTTTCAAGTTTTTTTAAATTACTAATAATTAATTTAAAGAGCTATTAAAAGTATGTCATATATATTAATATGAATTAAAGTAATTATGGTAACAAATACTTATCAATATTGTAAGTATTTGTTAGCATAATTACTTTAATTCATTTGTGTTGCCTATCATTAATCTTCGATCAGTTTTAAAGTATATTAAGTTATGTAAAAAGCAAAAAAATTCTGACATTTATATTTATATTTTAGAAAAATTGAAATTGTATTATTTATTCGCGGTTTACTGCAACTTACAAACATTTTAGACTTTTAGACTTCATATATATTCTATTTATGGGTTTTTCGGTAAATTTCTGGCGTGAAACACTTGGATATAAGGAAATAGGTCACTTTGCAAGGTTAATCAAGAACGCATCAAATAATTATTATTTACTGTAGTACTGAAAGTAGTATATGATGTTAGAAATATTATTATAATTTCTTACTTGTGTCAGCAATGTTCACTAATACTGTTTTACAAATACAAATATTTTTTACTATTATCAATAAATAAGTCATGAAATAATTTAAGTTAATGTTGTGCATAAAATTGAAAATACTTATTTCAAGATTATGTGTTAGGTAAACTTGTAATTATGACAACGACAGCATCACTGTTAACTAAATTAGAAGATTCTGAAGCAAATGGAAACTCACCTTATCATATTGATATAATTCTGAATAAAAAAATTTATAATCCCGGTGAAACAATTTATGGCGAAGTAATTTTTCGATTTGACAAAAAATTGTCATGTGATATGATTACTGTACAATTATTTGGCTCTGTTCGCGTTTTCTGGATTGACAATGGAGTAAGATTTGATAAAATTATCAGCTTGTTTGAATTTAAATCCTCAATAGATTGAGGAGATTTTTTTTCTGATCATTTTAAGCAATTCAAAATTATCTGTTAAAATTGTAATTATAATTGCTGTAGTAAACTTTTATTCTTTGCTAATAATTTGAAAATATTATTATTTTTGGATTATAAATTTTTTAGCTAATAACAAAAATTAAAATATGAGTTTTTAGATTCGCAATGGTAATTTACGACGTATACCACATGAACAAAAAAGAGTTTTAATTGATGAAAAAGCAACTTTGTGGTGTGATGAACAAAATAAAATTTGGAATAAATATACTCAGCCAAACGTTTGTTTTTATTATTTAAATACTGTTTTTGAATTTTTTAAGTTAAGAAACATGACTTTAATTGAAAATATATTAGTAAGCAGTATTTATTGTTCAAGGCTTTCAATTTATTTTTGTTCAAATATTAAAAGTATAGTAATAATATCATTAATAATGATGATAATAAAAATACAAATAATAATAACGGTGATAACAATGATAATAATTTTTATAGAGGTCACTCTCTCATGAAAAAAATTGTAGCAATGATAGTGGTACCAATGATGATAACAATATTGTTGAAGTAATTTTTATCGCAATGAAAGCATATGAAAATACTTAATCATTTGTCAGTGCTACATTGAAAAGCTTTTAAAGCTAGCTCTTTTTTTTTCATTTTTGTACACTTTTAATAACTTTTATAGCTCAATGATATTGTACACTTTTCGTCACCTACAAGCGTAAGATTAAGAAAAATTGAAAAGAATGCAGCTTTTCACGGAATTGGAATTGGTTATCACAAATATAAGTTTACTTTTGAACTGCCAAAAAATGGACTTTACACTTCATTCGATTTAAAAAATTGTGATGGCCGTGTGCGATATGCAATCAACGTAAGCTGCTATACTTCAAGTAATAGCAATATTTAATTGCAAAAGTTATGAAGTAAAAGCTTATGATTTTTTTAATAAACATATTAATAAATGTGTAAAATTTATTACCATTATGTTATCAAAATTTTTGTAAATCGAAATTGTTTAATTTTCCAAAAAGCTTTTGATAAATAATAAAAGTAATCAAAAATTGCATTATTTTCAGGTTGAATGTCTTTCATATAGTCGATTAGTAATAAAAAAAAGTTTAACATTTCCAATTGTTTGCCCCACCAATCTAAATAATTATAAAGAAGCAATGACCAGCGCTTGCATTAGAAAACGAATTGAATTTAAGAAGTAAAATTTTTAAATTTTTTGAAGAAAAATTAGAAATAAACTATCTAAATATTTTCTTTAAAAACTTTTAAAATTTCTTCAAAATCAATTAAAATCCTAATAAATTCATATGTATTGAATATTCTTTACAATATTTTATTACGATTTTTTGCTAATTGTCTAAAAAATTGAATCTATTTAGAGGTAAATATTTTGAAGTTGAATTATCAATATCAAGGCGTTGTTTAGTACCTGGAGAAGCACTACCTGCACAAGTACGCATTGATAACAGGTGTTGATTAAAAAACTCAATTTTAATGAATGAAAGCACTTTTTTTTTTTGATAATTAAAATCAATTATGATTTTTTATTAAGTTAAAAGTTTTTTTAGATCGGGTAAATCTATCAAATTTTCACATCTATCAATACAACAGAATGTTTTTTGTGTTGCGACTTGTCCATTTACGCATGGCAAAGAATGGTTTCAGGATACGCTCGGTAACTTTTTATTTCTTGACTTCTAAATTGGACTTTTTAATTTGAAATTAATTCATAAAAACTACACGCATAATTGATTTTTCAATAGTTTTCAACCAAATATTTGTATATTACTTTGTGTGATTAATATTTCAAAAAATCTTATATTATTAATTAAAAGTTTTCAAAATTTAAATAATAATAATAATAGTAATAATAATAATGAGGTAAAAAAAAATTTTTCAAAAGGAGTGGATATGGATATTAATAAAATACCTACTGGATGTATGCATAAATATGTTCCAAAGTTTAACGTTCCTGCTTTGATTCCTGGTTTTCAAATTGATGGATTTTTGACTCTTGATTATAAGCTTAAATTGGAAATTGGCTTCGACAAAGTTAATTTGAATAACGATATGAAACACGTTGTTTGCATATTAACAGTTTGTTATTCAATTAATTTTCTCATCTATCTTATTCCAATCAAATCAGTCATTAATTACAATTTAAAGTTTAATAGTTTATAAGAATTCATTTGTGGTTTTTATAATATAATTCAATTAGCTATTATCATTAGTAGTACATTAATTTATATTTTGTATTAATTCAGCTAGCGTCTTGGATGTTTGTGTATTTTATAGAAAAGCTTTAATTTAAAGTTAAAAAGCTGAAATATATGCAATATTCTGATGATAATATTCAGATACCAATCTTTATTACAACAGGCTTCATAGGAGAATCAGATCTCGAATTCGATTCCAACCTTCAAGAAGGTGATTGCTACTATAAATGCTAAAAGAAATAAATTAACGAAAATACTTTATCACACTTACTGAATAATAATAATGATAATATGAATCATTTTATTATGTCAGATCCATGCAGTTTTTTATTTTTTGGTTAAAACCCACTGAAAGCAATCAAATTATTTATATTGTTTCTGCTTACTTTCATTATCATAAAGTTCAATCATAGTTAATCAAATTAGCTAACCATAATTAAGGTTCTTAGTTAATTTAGCTTATCTTTGAACTTTCAGCATCAGAACCACCTCCAAATTACTATGACGTTCAACCGCCATCTTATGATGAATGCAAGACCAAAATCAACTTTGGAATCCAAGCTAATTCTGAAATTTGTACAATGTCTGCATTAACTTTAACCAATAATGATGAAGAATTATAGCAAATTTAGTTTGCATGCTATAAATTTATAACTAATTTAAATTCGATAAGAATAGCAATTCTCAAAGTTAAAAATATATTTTGATAAACAGGCATATGCAAATTTGGAATTTCTTTAGATGAAATATGCATAAAAATAATTGTACAATATTTAAAATTTTTAAATTTGGTTTGTAAGTAGTGAAAATTTTAAATGCATATTACTGAAATATTTTGGCGTCGAAATTTTTGAATTAAGCGTAATTGATATGGCATGTAAATACAAAATTGAAAATGTATGTAATCAACTTTTATAGACTCAAATTAGTAAAAATATAATTATTTCAATTGTGGTATCAAGAATAGTTAGATTTTTTTTTTGCGTTTGAAATAATATCTAATGAAGTGGAAATATTTTTCAGTAATTAACTGTCGTCACATAATATGATATGATATAAATTATTACGTGATCTTTGTCATACTAAGGTCATCACACATAAAAATTTTGTTCAACTATAAGCCATATTATTAAATAAGTAATTATATTTCTATTATATCTTTTAATCATGCTTTTTATTGAAAAAAACTGCTGAAACCAATTGGAAAATTAAAAAATTTGCAAATTTTACGAGAAATCATAGAGATATATTTATTAATTATACAAAACCAGCCTAATAATTTTATATACAGTCATAATAGTATTACTTATTTTTGATCTTATTCTGGAACTTTGTTTAGTTTTCTAGTAATAAGAGTGAAGAATTTTAATGATTTTCACTTAACGTGAAAATTACAAACGTAATGTTAAAATTCATTAATGTTACCAAAGAATTGATTTAATTTGACTGATCGTTTTGTTTTCACACATCGTTTCCGAAGATTCTATCAATTAACTGCACAATTTTGATACAATTCATTTTAACTTGTTTGCCATACGAATAACGCGCACATAAAATGTACCATTGTGTGGTTCATGCTGTGTTATAAATGTATTCATTGTGTTACTGTAAAAACAAAATATAATTACAAAAATAAGTTTATTGATTAAATTATCCGAAAATTTTTTTTAAAATTAATCATTTATTAATATTTAAATAATTTTGCTATTAATCACTACATTACGATAACTAAAACAATTGAGAATAAAACTTAACGACTAAATTAATTACTTGAATGTTTGCATTGAGAAATTTGTAGCAAGCTCTATTAATGAATTATTATTATCTGCTTCATTTTCTTATTTTATCAAGTGGTAAAATGTTCGAAAATGAAGAATATCCGCGCAGTAATCATATCATCGAAAACAAGTATATTTTTCAATTGCTCACTTAAAGTAAAAAATTTTGTTATTTTAACATTTGATTGAAATCATAAAATATTTTATAGTTTATTTTTGAAGATTTATTGTCAAATTTATTCCCAAAAAGCAGTAATTAATAAGGCTTGAGCGATCTGTTAGTTATATTTTTTATAGATATAATTTTGATTGATTTAACAGCCGCACTGAGATAAAAAGAGATTAAGGAACAATTATTTTAATAATTATTTAAATCTAAAGCTATTCGTACTTATTGCTAATAAAATCATTTCGTTTTATTTACTATTAAAAAAGATTTAAATTTAATGATAATTTTATGAAAAAAAAATGCATTTTAGTACTACAAATGTCAAAATTTTTTGAAATGCAAAAAAATAAAAATAAAATTAGACAAAAGTAATAATTAAACATTTTAATGGGATATAATTGCAGTAAAAATGTTGATGATGAAGAAGCCAAAAATGGTATGGCTTTTCTTATTTATTTTTGTACATTTGCGATTTTAATAATTATTTGATCAAACTTTCTGGCTTTTATCACAATATGAGTAGTATTTGAATATATTTAATTGTTTATTCATTTAAATTTGTTCTATGATTTCCTTTGCAAAACTAAAGCACAATAGAATAAAAATTATTACTATATTTGAGCAAAAATGTTAATATTGTAATGTTTTCATAATTGTTAACTTTTTAAGTGTGTTAGAAAATCTTTTTGTAAATTATGTACAAAATTTGCTGCATAAAAATGATATAATTTGATTATTATTTTCAAATTTATCTTAATTAAGCAATTTAGCAAATTTAGATGCATCACAATTTTTTTTCATCAACTTCACTAATAATGCAAATGTTACTGAAATGCAAGCAGAAAGCGTTAATTCTGCAATTTTATGGTTAAATGCAACTTATCAGGTGAATATTTTCATGAGTATACTTTAATAATGTCAAATAAGTTACGTTCAGAAAACAATTTATTGCTAATTCTAATTCAACATTTGAGTAGAACATACATAATACAATATAAATAAATATATTCAGTCTATTGAAATATTATTCCTTTCAGGCTTATGATATCGGTCTTAATATTACTTCATTAGAGCAATGTGTTGGAAAAGTATCTGATAAATCTCAGTTGATTGATTTTAACAGTACTTTAGAAGTAATTTTTTTAAATCCTTTTTTGATCAAACTTTTTTCATTTAAGTATTTATAATTTTTCGCTGTCAGTTTCATCTTTCATTTAAGATTTTATTATTAAATTTAGCCAATAATATTACCATATCTCTTTTGTGATCAACTAATTGATATTTTATTATGGTTATTTTCAAAGAATGAAATGAATAATACGAAAGGTATAAATTCGCTAACACCTGGTATAGAAATTATCGACACAACTGAACGTTTAAAAGAACTTGGATTAGATGAAAATTTGCTCAACTTATATCAGGTACTAATTAGATTAATTGGTAATTATAAATGACTTAAAAAATTGAAGTACAAATTTTGGTATAATTTTAAAAAAAATTTACTTTCATAAATTTCAGTGCTACTTATAATAACCAACATTAGCATGTTGGTTTCATGCATTTACCAATAATATCTTTGCTTATTAATTAAGCAATTATAAAGTTTATCATTTATCATATCTATAGTCTAATGATATGATAAAGAAAGTGCTTCATGTTTAATTGAGTATTATTTTGAGAATTTATTTTATAAAAATACTATCATTTAAGAAAATTATAATTGTCTTCGACAAAATTTGTAAAAATTATCCACGAGAATTATGGTTTTCAACGACTGAACATGCACGAGAATTAGATATAACAAATTCGTTCGTTTGTGATCCATTTAAGGTATACACAATTTACTATCTTAATTAAGAATTAATTTGTGGAAAAAAAATTACTTTCTATGCTTTGAAAATAATAAAAATTTTGATAAATTTGTACAGGTTTTTTTCATATCATATACTACTGTAACTTACTGCTATGACTTGTTTTCGCTTTAATTTAATGCAACAATCATTTTTGATATTAATTTTATTACAAATTTGCATCTACACAATGAAATTAAAAATTTTTCACTAACAAAATAAAGTGAGCAATTTTTGATTCCACTATTGTAATACATTCAAAGGCTTTTATAGATTAACTCAAAAGTTAATCTCTCTCAAAAACAAATTTTTATTCATTTCATATTTAATAATTAATTAATTGGCTTTAATTAAATGTTACAGGATGAACTTCATCCAAGTGAAGAAAAGTTACAACATTTTGCTAAGATTCTAAACGACATTGTATACAATTTTAAATCAAATAGTATGTTGTAATTACTTTCATTGCTTTTTTTAAAAGTATTTTTCAATAATTATGCTTAAAAATTATCAAATTAATGTATGCATTTCGAAGTTAAGAAAATCAAAAGTGGATGTTTTTAGAAAAATTCCCGAATTCCAGAAACACTTCAGCATCTAAAATTAATCCAGCAATAATGTTATCTCAATCAAATGGGTAATAAATTGAAAATATTCAAGCTTATATTTTTAGAGATCATAATTGATTGTATTTAGGCATTCCACATGATCCACATGACCCACATGATTGCCGTTAATATTTTATGCAAAACTGAAACTTTTTTAATAAAAATTTTACTACGAAAAGTAATCAGAAAGGTGCTTAAAATGATCATAATCACTCATAATAATTGATTATCTTAACTTATTAATACATTTGTTAGATCTATTTGTTTTGATTAATTGATGGTAATTACTTGATTGTAGAACGAGTGAAGTTAATAGAAAATTAAGTGAGCTTTCATATTTTCGAAGCGTATCGAAAAAAGGAATCAAAGAGAATGAAAGCAAACTTTTACACTTGTCAACTTCTGATGATGACAAAAGCGATTTGGTTAATTTACATAAAGTTTTTACAATTTTTTAAATTTTAAGTTATTCAAGTCATTCATTTTATTACTTTATTATTTTCTAAAAACTTTATTGTTACATGAAATAAATTAAAAAGCTGCAAAATTGAATTTAACAATTTAGAATTTATCATATATTATGGTCAAATAATTAATTTCAGACAATGTGGACTCGTCTTGAAGATCAGTCTTTAGATACTGTTAAAGAAATTTTAGTTGATTCAAATAATGGCAAAAAATCATCTACGCCAATTGTCATAGAGCTCAATTTTACTCAGCAACAGTATGTTTCTTTTAAATAATCTATATTAAAATTGTCTTAATTTTACATGATTTTTACTTCATACTTATTTTATTATTATTCAAAAGCATTAGTAAATTGTTTTAAATAAATAGAAGTAAAAATTGTTTTCTAAAATATACCATTAAATGCAATTATTTTGCATTCATTGTTTTTTTGTACCGAAAATATTTGAAAAAATGATTTCTGTTGAAAGTTTTCAATAGATTATGATTCTTCAACATGATTTCAAACATCATAAATTTACATAGTGCTTTTATGCGATATAATTTGCGGATTATATAGAAAGTAGTATTAATAAGTGCAAAAAATAATAAAAAAGTTTTTTTTTAAATTAAAAAGTATAACAAATTCAGAGCTCGCATGATTGTTGGTAGTTGGGAAGCAGCTCAGGCATTACGTCTAAATATATCAAAACAATTGTTCGAAAGACATCAACTAATTGGATTATTACTTGATGGTGTTTGCGCTGATTTTGTACCAAATGCTATTGATGAATTCAATGCAACTAAATTTTCTGGTTTATATTTGATAATTTTATAAGATATGCAAATTTGTAATAATCGTAAGTTTTGAAAAAATTTGTACTTTTTTCTTTTTGAAAAAATCTTTAAATGAAAATAAATTTAGGCATAAATATATAATTTTAGGCGTAAATATTGAGGAGCCAATTGGATTGAATTTAACAGCATTATCACTAGCTGGCATTAATTTAACAGAATTGGCTGAAAAATTACGGAATGATAGTGAAGTTGATTTAATTTTGAGTAGAACAATTTCAGCTAATGGGTACATTGCATTAACAATTAATTATTAAAATTTTACTATAGCACTGTAGATTTTTTTATCATATCAAGTATTTAATTTCTATTTATTGCATATTTTCAGCAAAAAATTTAAATATTATTATATATTAATTTGTTTTAACTTTTGGATATGATAAAAATTGGAAAAAAAGGTGTAACAAAATGAATAAAGATTGAATTATTTGCTTATATTCGATTGTTTAGTGCATTTAGATAAAAAGTTATTAAAATTTAAAGGTTTTGATAATTGCAAAATTTATTTACAGATTTTTTCTATTCAAAAATTTAAATTCTTCTCTTTCTTTTTTTACCAACATTTTAGAACTTTGGGTGGCTCTTTTATTTTACCAGTTCTGCAAAAAAATAAATACGATCCATTTTCGGCACCAATTGTATTCCAAGGTAGCGCTGTTGTTGTTCGGTTTGGAATTTATATTGAATCATTAAGCAATTTTTTGACTTCTACCATGGTAGTTATTATTTTCCATTCTTGAATTAATAAAATATATTTATGCTACAGTATCATTTTAGAAAAGAAAATGCTTGTAAAATAAAATAAGCATTTTGTATTTTTGCAAATTCAACAATATTATTTAAATGTTGATTCTTGTAGTTTCACAATTTAATCAACATTTTTTGTGAAAATTAAATTTTGCAATAAGAACTACAGTAATTCATTAATATTTTTGTTTGAGTAATATTTTTTATTGAATAATGCGAAAGATATTTGTTAAAATTAATTTTTCTAAAAAAGAATAACATTACTTGATGATTATTCCTTAGGATTATGATATGGACATATTTTTGATGATGGCTTGGCGTGATCCACGTTTGGTAAATCCGTATGAAAAAGCAATACTAGTCAAAGAGGAAGAGATTTTAGAAAAAATTTGGCGTCCAGATCCATTTTTTGCTAATGCTAAAGAAGCATCATTTCATGAAGTTACCTTTCTTAATTTCCTCATGAGAATTTATAATGATGGCTTGGTGTTATACGAAACCAGGTGCTATTTCTTTCATAGCTTTTAATCAGTTATTTTTTTTTCTATAATTCCTTTTAGTAATTAAAAAAGCATAATTAGATTTTAACGAAGTACTAAAATGCTACCATCACTTAATAATTATTAATTATAAGTGACTTACTTGCGTATTATAATATCACATATTTTTAATAAAATATTATTATTATTACAAATAACTTTGATTGTATACTTTCAATTTTTTGCCTATTTTTAGGATTAAATTAAAACCATCTTGCAATCTAATATTATGTAAATATCCGCATGATAAACAAACTTGTGACTTACGAATTAAATCTTGTAAATATAATTAATCTTTTTTTGCCTCTTATTTACAACATTAATAAACATTTTGTGAGATCAAAAGTTTTGCAAGTATATTCTCTAGAAGTAAAAACATTTTTTACCAAAAAAAAAAAAAAAAAAAAGAAGCATCAATAATACATTGACTGCCAGAAGAAGAATTACTTTGCCTTCTAGTTGCATACCCAATAAAAACTGTACGATTTGAATGGTTTTCAAATAAACGTGATGCAATTGACAAAAATCCAGAAGTGGCATTACCTGAATTATACATTGATCGCTATGAACCTACTTATTGCGAACGAACACGAAAATCAGGTACTACTTATATCTAATTGTAGTTCATTTCATTTCATTTGAAAGTGCTTTAGACAGACTAAGTATCCTTATGAGCACGGAAGTTTTTTTCTTTTTAGAACTCGAAATTAATCATGGTAATTTCAATGAATTTTTAAATCTTAGGCATCACTCATCCTTTAACAAATTAAAATTAGAGTTAATTTAATAAGAGCTCAACTAAGAATCCACTTTAATTAATACAATTTCAAAAAGTATTACATTTTCAAAGTTACAGCAAATTCTTCGTTGTATATTTCTGTATACTTTGAAAATATTTCTTGCATCTCAGAAAATGAAAAAGGTCACATATATACACAAACATATTAGCTGATTTGACGTATTTCAGGTCATTTTTCATGCCTCAAAGCAGTCTTTCTATTAAAACGTGATGTTGGGTTTCACATTGCTCAAACATACATTCCTACTTCACTAGCACTTATGTTTTCATGGGTAACATGACTATACGACATATTATCATTGCGATTTTCTTTGCTTATCAGTAACATATTTCTGGTTCTTAAAAATTGATTGGTAGGTAGGTGTATGGTTGCCAGAAGAATTCATGGAAGGACGTATTGGTGTGGCTATAACTGTACTTCTAACGCTATCAACAGAATCCGCGGGTGCACGTGAACACCTTCCAAGCGTTTCTTACACAAAAGTAACTTGAATAGAATAGTATCCAAAACAATCACAAATGCTCAATTCCGTTGTAACTTTGGAATTCTTACTTTTTCAGGCCATTGACTTATGGTTTGGTTTTATTACAGCCTTTGTCTTCATTACTCTTCTTCAAACTCTTATTGTTATTGCACTGGACAAGCGAGCTAATCAACTGGTTATTTAGCAACTCATACATTTTACATGAGAATAATGACCATAATATGTCATATATCTTATACCTGTCATGTTGTATACCCTATATCTAATATCTTTTATTATTCCTAAAGTTACAAATGATCCATTTAGAGGAAATCGGCAGCAAAGAAAAGAAGTGAGCGAACAGAACATTCACGTGAAAAGCTGAGAGCTAAGGCTGCACAATACCATAAACGAGGAAGGTCAGTAAACATTCTATACAATCCTATAGCACTAAAACATCACACTTTGCGTTAGTTTCCACCCACTCATACCCTCGCACTTTATCCAGAATACAACTCACCTAAACTACACCTGTGCTTTCAGGTATTTGGACAATTTTTGTCGTGTCCTTTACCCCTTATCATTCTTTACATTTCTAACTGCGTATTATTTCGTATTCACCGAAGGACAACAAGATGACTGCATTAAGGGGAACCGGCAAACTCGTAATGTGATATCTTGAGATCGCATCTAGGAAAAAATTCAGGACGGTCGAAATTTACTATGCTACAGCAAGTAACAGTTCATACATTTAATACTTCTTTATACTATTATAGTGCATTTAATGCACTGAATAAAATATAAAATACATCGATGGAATGTAATAAATTACATAAAATGAACACAATGCGTAAGTCATGGTATTATATGAGAAGACACTCGAAAAAACGAATCTATTAAATAACAAAAATTACGTCATGTCTCACCGTTTCTTCAATATGCAATCACTGGAATAATTTTCATTACTTATCCATAAATTTTAAATTTGCATTTAAATTTCTTCTCTCTGATTCGCTACTTCGTATCACTTTCAAGCTTTAAAAAATCCCTGCAAACTAAGGACCGTTTCCAGCTACCAAGAGTTTATCTTCAAGTAATTCAAATTCTGTTTCACTATCAGCATGCCTCTGCTCGTGTAACAAAGAATTTGGAGTATTTGGCGGCTGAGCAACCTGAGAAAGTTACTGCTTATAAATTTATGAAAGACGGTTTTCACCCGTTTCATAAAACAGATAATAATCATGTTTTATGACACTTAACAAACTACAAAAATTGAAAAAAGAACTTGAAAATATATCAGCTATCCACAGTTTCAAACCACTACCGATTTATTTTCTTTCACAACAATATAAAAAACAACCTGGCATCGATCAATACGCTGTTCCATATCTAACCGATCAAGAAGTGTGTGAGGGCATAATTTTAATGTAGAGGTTTCTGTGCACGATGAAGTTAGTAATGTAGAATCAATCACGTCTGGACCCATAACTGATGCATAGTCGTTCTGCAGTGTAAGATATTAAATATTTTTCAATGAAAAATTAATCTAAAATCTAAGTCTCTTCAACTTGACAGCCAAAATTTCAACCGACCGTTGAGTTGTCACAAAGACTCTTCCTCTGTTCATTAGAAGTGTGAGCAGACACCTGCCACGACTGGTCAAATGCAAGTTTTTCATTCATATTTCGAGCAGTTACACGGCAAAGATGTGCTGGTGCTGGCGAACCAACATATGTTACCTCAGTTGTAACTTCAGCGCCAGCTTTACCCAGAGAAGAGTCTGATTTGTTTTTATTACGAACAGAAAGTATTGAATCTGAAACTAATTTTAGAAAACAAAATGAAAATACAGATCCATAAGAACTCTGCAAAAAATAAGAAAGGCATGAATAATCAATTAGTAAAATAAACAGAATAGGAAATTTGTAATACATCTTTATTTTCTAGCAGTATACCGATAATTTTGATAACTGCACAAAATCAGCTTTACATTGAAGCTTTCAGAATATTTCACCTTCAAAAATATAATAGCACTTTTCTGTAAATGTAAGCTTATTAACGACATGTCGAATATGTCCTTGTGCCAATAACCTCGAAGCATAGCAACGTGCTGCTTTACGATCCGTAATACCGTCTACGTGCTCCATCAGCCATTCAATAAGATCACGCCCTTAAATTGCTAAATGAGAATGTTATAAAAATTCAGTAATTTTTTGAGCAGCAAGATACTTTACCAATAAACGACATCGGAACAGGAATTTTCAACCACTTCCTATTCTTAATTTGTAGTCCTGAATTGGGTAAGGCCATATATTTCAAAACAATCACTGGATCCATATCAACATTCAGATTATCTAACAGTTGCTCTGAAATCCGGAAAGATATGAAATAATTTTAAAATATCCAAACTAAACAATAGTTGAGGACATATTTCCCAAAATTCGAAATTTGAAGTAAACAAAACTGAACAAAAGTTTCGTAAAAAGAATATATGCCCAAGTCTTTACTAACATATACTTGTTTTCAATTATTTCTATTTAAAATTCCAAAACATATACAAAAATTATTGACACACCATTTTCCTCATTCTCTTGCCGCCTAGCAATATCTTCTGCGTTGAACGAAATATTAAAATCAGGTTCATTTAACTGCTTTGGATTTGCTACACTCACACAGCCATTTCGTCGCTCAGCATAAGCCCTTTCTAAATCTGTGTCGTTTTCTTCAGCAACAAGTGTAACATCACCATCATTAAGAGAAACAGCTTCCTCAGGACCTTTCTGTGGCTTTACAGCATTGTGCCTGAAACATGGATTCTCTATAAGAATACGAATGAAATCAAAGCTAAAGTGAAACTTGAATATAGCGCAATCAGAAAATGAGAAATGTGGAACTAGTTAGTATCTGCACAATGTGTATTAAAAATTAACTTCGTGCTTTCAACCCAAAGTGATATGTCGATAGGCATCGTCTCAGAAGCAATACCAGAGAGTATATCGGCTCGCTTATCTGAGTTACTACACGTTCTCTTGGCAACATAGAGCGTAATCGGCCTGAAATACTTAAAATAAAAGCCATTACCAGGACTGTCAGTTCTAAATTCTTTATCGAGGGCACCTTAAGATGTGAAAGCAATTTCAAATAATTCACCTTCGACTAGCAGCTGCTTTTCGCAATAAATCTACTGCCTCAACGTCACTTAAATTCTCAAATGAATTTCGATTCACCTGCACAATCTGATCACCAATTTCAATTCTACCGTCTGCATCAACTATGCCTCCTATGAGAGATAAAAATTTTTAAAACAAGTCGTGCAACAACAAAAATATCTGAACACAACTTAAGAATCTTTGCATAATTTAAACTTTATTCAGGTAACTTTTCTGATTACAAAAAACTAACCTCTATGAATATCACTTACAAAAATGCCACCATCATGACTTAACACTGAAATTCCTAAGAATACTCCACTTTTCATAGGTAAAGTAATAACATCAATTCGAGGAAGCGAAAGGGAAGTTAAGCTGCAAAATGATAGTAGTGATAGTTTGAAAGTATCTTAATGCATGTAAAAGTATTGGAACCTACAGAAAAGTAATTCAATGGACAAATCTTGTTAAAACAAACAATTTCAAACTCAGACTAGAATCCCAACCTGCTTTCCGTCATCGAAGAAATTGTGCTCGGAACATATGCTTTCCTATATTTTTCTTTGCGTGGACGTCTTTTTCGTCGAGGACAGAAAGGGCCTTTATTTGAGAGAGCAATGGGTGAAGCTGGATAATTTGAGACACAAGCACCAGAATGCTTTAGGTACCTGGAGAATATTTCTAGATAAATCATAATTAAAAAAGTTTCCAAAAAATTTTATCAATGTACCTTGATTCCATTTCATCGAAATGATACGGGTCTTCTGAATTAGATGTATAAAACTCTGCTAAACCCTCGCCGGCTCGTTCTAAAAAATACACCAATGTACAGATAAATCTGCAGCTATATGTTGGGTAAGTCGTTAAAAGCTTCCCATACTTTTTCTGATTAACTTTTCGAGGTCAAAAAAAGAACTTAAGAACCATATTTTAAAACTTGTCTTGTACTCATCGGACACATTTTATGAGTTGATCTTTTCGATAATACTCATGAGTGATTGAAAAAAGTGGTTGATTAAAATGCCTAGATTTGTCAGATGCTTCAAAATTGGATGAAAAAAATATAATACCTTATTATACAACAGAAAAGAATTTTATAAGCAAAAATAATTATTGTAAAAAGGTTCTTTACTGCTAATAACTGTCGACAAACTACTCGCTGTAATGCTGTTTTCATCACTCTTGTTCTTTTGCACATGAAGCAAATCTCGATTAACAAAATTCTCAGTAGATAAGTTATGCAATGATCTTCGTTTTCTCAAATTGAAATCCTTAAATAAAAAACATAAGAAAACCCAAAACAGAAGACATTAGTCTTCTATATTTTTCAGCACCTAACTTGAATGCATATTTTATGATACATTTCAAACTAAATATAGTTTCAGATATCATAAAAACATAATCAACAAAAGCAATACAAGGTCTACCTTCGGTCTCGTCTGAGCATATTGTCCATTTTTCACTTTATTAGATGCTTTGGGCAATGTTCCTGAACAAAAGTTATTGTCAGATGCCGACAGAAGAACCAATTCAATTAGGCCGTTCGCTGATTTCACTAACTTCGTTGAATCATCACGAATTTCTACTTTCACCTCACTAAATGCTTGGTACATTTAATATAATTAACAAAGAAAAACTGTATTGAAAACTATAATTAGAAACTTCAGTTAAAAGAAGACAAGACATATGACTTCATTGTATAACTCTTGAAAGTTACTCCTTCAATACTGACCATCCTATTGTTTTGTCCAGTTGTTTACAAAAATATTTGTAGCCCTTCTTATTGAAGACCTTTTTAAAATCACCAAGTGTTATAGCATCGTCTGGAACTGATACTACAGAAAGATATGGAGTATTATCATCCAAATAATAATATACCTAAAAGTAAAAAGTTACCAGAAAAATACCTGCTACTAGTTTAAAAACCTATAAACAAAAAATCAAGCAAAAAATTTTTAAATGAATTAAGATCTTGCAACAACTAAATATGCACAACATATTAATAGATAATTAGTGAATAGACAACACAAAGATTCTTTTCGTGAGCAAAAAAAAAAAGAATAAATTACAAAAAAAAATGAATATTTACTAACTACAGCTTTTGTTAAGTAACGTCTCTAGTGACCAGAATTATTTTGAAATGAGGCAAATATTGACTCAAAGATAATTAAATCGGTAGGAACGGTTTGAAACACCTACCTTTGTGGATGAAGTACTATTTCCTTCTAGCATTACTTTATCAACTCTGAAAAAGAATCACCACAATTTTTGGAGCATAAACAATCATGAAAAGAAAATTAAACATACTATAATAATCCATGTAAATCATGAGGATTTTATATTTGACAGGAATTATAAATTATGATAATGTGTAATTTAGCATATATTTTTCGGAGCTTTTGGAATTATTTATGAGATGACAGCAACCTGTCCTCAAATATATTCCAAGCAATGTTAAATTACTTAAAATAAAGGAAAGTTTATAGTTTTATAGATATGACAGCAACAAATATTGTACCTAATTCCATTAAACACATGCTTACGGTTGTTTATCTAGTTTATAAGAACAAATAAATAAATTCATAAAAAATATCAAACATAAATCATTCTGCCAATGATTAATTTTGTGCAAATGATGATAAATATGTAAAGAGAGGGAAATTTTTGAACCAATTTTAAAATTAATATTGAGCAGATCTTGTCCCCAGTAAAGCCATAAAGCTTTATATAAAATCAGTGGCGAACGAAGAGACATAACTATCATTGGATCTCGAAAACCATTTACTACAAATTAACAATTATTACAGTGATATACTGAAGCATATGAATCTCTTAAGCACAGCGTTACTATTTAATGCAGTAACAATTTGAAATCATAACGTTTCATAGCTTTCGAATTCCCAGATTGCTAAAATACGACATTTTCTTTTTCATTGATGATATTTTTATAAAAATAAAACTAAAATCAATCGATACCCAGCTGATTTTTATTTAAACTAATCTTTAATCGAAAGTTAATTTTGTTACACCAATTTGAAAAACTACCCAAAGATTCATTTACATTTATTATCTTAACTTTTCTGTGCCTCATTGCACAGTATTTTAACACTAAATTTCAATTATTTGACTAAAGCCGTTAATCGTGTATCAATAAACAAGCTATCGTGAGCAATATTTTGTACTGGAGAATAGACTCAGTCTTGAAAGACCGTCTTATTTTTTCTTCAAAGAGTATTTGTACAATTTGATTTACCCTAAGTCATTTTAAATTCATTACTTATGCTTTATACTTACAAGTATATTAAAGGCATAGTTTTATAACTGCAGTATTAGTGCATGCGTTTGATGCATGTTGTAAATTTTGAAGTTATTTCATGCGGATGACGATGGACAAATAATTGCTTGTATCCAAAAAGAAATCAAATTTCAGTGAGTCACATAAGATCACAGAGTGTTCTTTTGATTTCTTTCTTTCGCTTACATTTAGGATGAGTCGACGTGCTTTTCATGATAGCGTACAACGATTTTATGCTTTGCTAAAATTAACTTTTACTTAAAATTAATTTTTTGAACAAAACAAACAGTAACATTAGTTATAAACTTCTTAGCACTGTAATACCGATACTGTTTACCTTATCGAAAAAAGAAATATCCATATGTATCAAATTATTATCACAGAAACTGTTCATAAATAATGTTTCACCATTATCAATATCACATCCATTACTATCTCCTAATGCGCATAAAATGACCGGTTTGTCAGCGTATTTATTCAAAAATTCGGGAATCCACTGTAAATAGTAATCATTACATGGTAAGTAATTTACTTTTGCACTCATTAAATACCACTTAAGTACTGAATTATTATGTCATGAAATTCTTATACATTCAAATATGCTAACAGGTATAAAAATCTAGATGTCAAATATATACAGGAATGATAATTTCAAAAATGCCAAGATTACATATGAATATTTCAAAAATTTAAAATTGGAGTCTTTAAGCTACAAAATGTTGTCATTTTCAGCTAAAGGAATATCGTAAAGGAAATGACAGATACAGTTCTTACTTTTTCGATAACACTTCGATAAGTTTGTGGAATTGCTGGTGTGTAACATGCTATACAGCAGTGAATAGTTTCATTTGATTGTTGGCAGAATAGTTCAAAATCTTGCATACTGATGAAAAGCCATAATTGCACTTCATATCCTTCCTCTGTTGTCATTTTACAGCATCCATTATTCTGCATTAGTTCATTATGAAAATATTGGACAGAAAGTAAATACCAACTATAATGAATCAAAATAACATGACAAGTTTTTTTAGAATCCCGTATTATTTATGAAAAGAGTAGGAAAGTGAGCTTAGCTTTGTACACAAGTTTATATCCAAGCATGTACAATGATAACAATTTCGTTTTATAATTGAGTAATTAGAAAAATCATCTTGTAATTCAATTGTATTTTTGCTGAAAAATTCTTTGAGCAAAAGTTAAAGTTGCATTTTATATTTTGCAAAAATTAGGTAAAAATTATTACAGAAAATGGAATATCTTTGGGGGAAATTAGCTGCATAAGTTCGATTCGGAGCAAGCTGATACCACTAGCATAATCACCTAACATTACTACTCGACATGGATTTTCAATTATTTCACTTTCTGAAGTAAATGCTAAAGGCAGATATCGAGCTTTGCGCCCACCAAACAGCAGTGAAGATTCTGAAATCAAAACAAGTGAATTAGCTCGAACTGATTAAAAAATTAAAGTGATCACAAATGGAGAAGTATACATTTTCAAGCATGTAGAATGATCGCAATGAAATTACGATGACAGAAAATTCGTCCTATAAAACAAAACAATTCTTCAGAGGTTTTTGCCAACTTTAAGAGATCAATGGTATAATTCTATGTATTAAAAAAAATTTAAGAAGGAGCAGAATAAAAAATGATCGCTGTATGCAATTAAAAACCAAACAAAAGAAAAGTGCTGTAATTTTCCAGATTATAATTAACATGATATGGGTTTAATGATCTTAGGGTAGCAAAGTTTTGTTTTTTTAATTTATAACCAAAAAATAATCTCTCAAACGATTACTTCTCTTTTATCACAATAAATTTTTGCATAAATAATTTATTAAGATTTTTGTAACTATAATTATTTTAAAGAAGAGATATTTTCCTACCAAATATATTCAACAAATTATTACTGACCCGACCATGGTAATATGAAACGTTGTGAATTTTGAAGAGATAATGATGAATCGTCGGTGCTTGGCTGAAGACTAGAAGTTTCAGCAAGTTCTTGTGCTGATTCCGTATCCTCGCCACTCATTTTCCGAACAACACAACTGCAATACGAGAAATCAAAAATAATAAATAAACTTTATGACACACATTTACGTATAAATATGGATATAACATAAAGTGCTATAAATATGTATGCACTTAATTAATTCATGCAAAATAAAAGCAATTTTGAGTAAATTTAAATTGCATAAGATTTTTTCCTTTTATAAATTCATAAAAAGAACTTTTTGTTTTTTTGATACAAATAACGACTAGTAATTTCACATAGTAAAGAAGAGAAGACATTGTCACAAATTATTGCGCTACTAACTTTGTTTTTCTTCTTTTCAGCTCTCAACAATACATTTATAGCGTAAAAATAGTTATAAATTTGAAGAAAACTAAAACTGCACGCTAAAACAATTAAACAATACTTTAGTTTACTCAAAAATGAGCTTCACAGTGCTGATGCATTTACCAAAATTTTCTTAACTTTTTAATACATAACCAAATTATTGGACTATTTTTGTTGTCACGCTTCCTCCAACGATTAGTCAGTCGACTTCATGTCTCTAAGCACACTTTTTAGCGTTACACTTATATGACGAGAGTAAAATTAATACACATTAAGTCGATATTATATTTTTTATAGTTATTATACCAAAATTGTCATCAAATGTGTTGAATTCTACAAGAAAACAACACTTATCATTACATTACTTACTCGAATACTTGAAACTCATCTAAATATTACAGTGTAAGAAAGTATCAAAATTATTAACAGTACAGCCACTAAATATGATGATGATATATATAGTTTTACAGAAAATTATACACTTTTACATTTACTTTACAATAAACATTAACTACCAATATAATTACTTCTAAAGTAATGAAAAACTTTTAGTAATAATTTTTAGAACTAAAAAAATGTTCACAGTGATCACAAGAAGTTGATAAAAAAGCGCGAAAATATTCAAACATGATGTAGTTGCCAGACGGAGGTAGAAAATAGAATTGCCATTACTTTTATCGTACTAAAACATTGAATTTCATCAATATATAAGTTAAATGATCTACGCCCATAAAGCATTTTTTGTACATAAAATTAATGCTAAACATATCTCACGGAAAAATACGAAATGCACGTAGCAAAGATTGATAGAATAAAAAAATAGTGCGGAAGAGAGAAAAAAATCTATGAAGCAGACGTTATGGACTGAGCGTTTTGCTGACAATTACCAAGCCATTTCACGTGTGACTGTCATTACTGCAGTAGCCTAAGATTAGCGGTGGTGTGATTTTTATCTGTTCAAATCTTGCATACTCCTTGTTGTTCATTTCCGGTGTTCTTTCAACGTAGTAAATATTCGTGACCTATCAGAGGTTTGCGTGCACTTTTTGCATAATTTCACACAGATCCTCGTGATACCATCAGAGGTTTGCGTGCACTTTTGGCATAATTTCACACAGATCCTCGTGATACCATCAGAGGTTTGCGTGCACTTTTGGCATAATTTCACGTAGATTTTCGTGATACCATCAGAGGATTGCGTGCCCTTTTGGCATAATTTCACGTAGGTTTTCGTGATACCATCAAAGGGTTGCGTGCACTTTTGGCATAATTTCACACAGATCCTCGTGATACCATCAGAGGGTTGCGTGCACTTTTGGCATAATTTCACGTAGGTCTTTGTGATACCTCAGAGGGTTGCGTGCCCTTTTGGCATAATTTCACGTAGATTTTCGTGATACCATCAAAGGGTTGCGTGCACTTTTGGCATAATTTCACGTAGATCTTCATAATACCATTAGAGGGTTGCGTGCCCTTTTGGCGTAACTTCACGTAGATTTTCATGATACCATCAAAGGGTTGCGTGCACTTTTGGCATAATTTCACGTAGA